AATTTCTGCATGCCATTTTACCAGATTTAAACTCATGATCTATAATCCGGAAAAATCGATGATCCAGAATCGCCGAAGTCCCGATGAGTCCGGATTAACGACTTTTGACTGTAATACATTATTTTCTCATTTTGATTCATTAATAATTTTATGAGTCATAAATATAAATTTATTTTATAAAAACTTGTTTATTTTATTCAATACTTGTTCTAAAACGGAAATTCTTAATTTTTTTTATATATACATTCACTTTGTAGCTAGTAATAAATTTGTTTCCTTAAGAGTCAGTGTAAGGCCTTTATCTCAAAACATCAATAAGACTTCTCTCTGTGCTAAGACAGGTGTCTAGAAACTGAGAATCTGAAGGAGTGATGTCACATCCAGTACAGGAATTTTAGAAGTTGAAGATATCAGATGGCGCCCTCTAGTGGGAGGAAAAATCATTTAAGATATCTAATCTGAGAAAAGGGAGTACTGCTTTGCACAATCATCAATTATTATTTTTATTTAATTTTATAGAAAATAACCTGATTTAAAATTATAATTCAGAATGTTAAACAACATTTATCTAATTTTTACGTCAGCTAGTTTAATTTTATTATATTGAAAATTCTTGAATTAAAAAATAGATAAATATCATTTTTATAAAAATCATACTTAATATCTTATATAATGCTCATTAAATAAAAAAAACATATATAGATCAAAGTCGTTAATTAGGACGCAAGCGCGTTGAAGATGCGAGTTTTAAGTATAAGGACGGGATAAGCTAAACTAAAATATCTAGTTCAGTTAATGTGCGATGGTTGTTCCTTAATCTTGATTGGATCCGGATTATTATTTTTGCAGACTGTTTAGAGCAATTTTATAAAAGTAAGCTGAACTTTCATTATGTCAAATGAAATTCGATAATATTTACTATATGTAAAGGTATCTAAAGCGAAGTACCTTTCGGCGTCCTTAAAAAAAGGGATAAGGCCTATCATTTGTTGATCTTTACGGCCGGTGGTGTGCAGATTGGAAGTTGATCTGTCAGCACTATCCTTATCTTAAGGGCGAGTTTTTTTTATTTGCCTATAATTGCTTACTCAATGTAGTATTTCATCTCGATACTCCGTCTTGATATGATTTAAATCAAATTTCTTGTCATTATACAGTCAAAAGTCGTTAATCCGGACTCGTCGGGACTTCGGCAATTCCGGATTATAGATCATCAGTTTAAATCTGGTAAAATAGCATGCAGAAATTATAAAATTAAAAATATGAAGCCGTAATATACGAAATAAAGAACAATTACGATCTAAAGGGTATCAAAATAAACAAATAAAGTAGCTTTGAGGTACGGATTATAGGTGTCCTATTAACGACTTTGACTGTAATTCCTTCCGATAGTGAAGAAAGTGACGAGAGGTTAGAAAAATAAAAAAATTTTGATTGACAATTAGTCGGTATTCGACACAGCAATTATAGGACTTGAACAGCGGAACTTTGTAACTGAACAAGAAATTATGTCTGTTAATAGAATTAAAGAAAGTTTATCACATGAAACGAAGCAAAAACTTAAACAACTTATTGAAAGAAATGTTTCATAAAGTAAACAAATAAATATTAAGCTATTTGTAAATTTTGATACCTTTAGATAATAATTGTTCTTTTTTCGTAAATTACGGTTTTATATTTTTAATTTATAATTTGCATGCCATTTTACCAGATAAAACTGATGATCTATAATCGAATCACTGAGTCCCGACAGTCCGGATTAACGACTTTTGACTGTAGTTAACAGGTTGATGTTATGGAAAATAATCAACAAATATTAAAATAAAAAGTTATATTAAAAAGAAATAAAAATATTTATGATCTGAGCTCTTCTAATTTTTAAAGCATACAAATGTTTAAGAAATGTGTAATCTATTTATGGAAATAAATGGCTTAATTAAAAAAAAAAACATAGTAATATGAATAAATCATGTTTAAAATAATAATTTAAATATCACTTCTTCTTTAGAATTTGAATTCTTGTTCAGAATTAAAGATAAGGCTATATTTTGTTGTTCAATAGGATTTGGTTTTACAATTGGATTTCTTGGTTTTTTACGAATTCTACGTGTAGAGTACAAAGGTCTCTGACAGGTAATGTTTTTGTTTGCAGAGACTTTTTTAAGATTATCTTGTGACGTAAGTGAACAATTGGTTGATGTAATGGCATATATCTATTGGTGAAATTAGTCTTTCAACTGCTTCAAACTGACTATCTGATGATATAGAATCAATAATACTTGTAATTTTTTTGTTTTTTTTTTTTTTTTTTTTTTGAGTTTTCTTTTTTAAGAGAAAGGTTTAGGTTTGATACAGGGAAATCATTTTTACTTAGCTCGAAAAAGTAATGAGTCTGACTCTTTATTTTGATCAGCAACATGCATATAATGTGGTATCATCATCGTTTAGAAGAATTACTTCTTCAGAATTATTTCCAGTGTTCATGGATTTTATTACTCGACATATTAAATGGATATGTTTGCACATATTCCATTTTATGCTGGAATCTATACAAGTACAAGTATAATTGTGAATACATGGCTTGCACTCCAAGCAAGTTAATTGGCATTTTGCAATCAATGCCTGATTGTTGTACAAAATACACCTCTTGGATTTCTGATGTTGAAATTACATTCCAGCCAGTTTCAGTTTTCGAGACCAGTTCATTAGGAAGCTTTAAGCTTAAATCATGTCTCTTACAAAGCTCAATGAACTTATTTGTGAGCTTTCCTTTATGCATGATTATTAGTCTATCAAATAATTTGTCTTTGATAAATTGCATAAGTATGTTTATCGATTTATCCAATCTTTTTATGTGTTTACCTCGTAAGTAAACATGCTTGATTGTGCGATGCATACTCTCAACATACATACTGGCATTAATACCACAGTGTAACCTGTGACAGTATGCTCATGTTTCCACAATTAGATACAAAATATTTTCCAAAGTCAGAAGTTTTATCATTATTTAACATCAACGAAATAGCTTCTGTTAACATTTTACGAAAAGCAGTGGAATCTCGCTCTTCCAAAAGTGTGCGTACTATTTTATACACCTTCAGTTGCTTTTCTGTTGAATTAATTTTTTTTAAGATTATTTCTTCCACGCACGGTCTACATGCCATGTATAAAATAATCTTTTCTTTGGAACTTCCATAACGTGGCACCAGGCACTGTAAAAAAGAGTGTGCCATATCAGACATAAAGATATTAGCCTTAACAACTTTATTTTTTATGTATTTAAAAAATATCGAAAGGAAAATTTCATCAGTTCTGTTTGATATTAGAAATCCACATGGAAAGCCTTGTCTGATATCATTGAGACAGAATTGTTATCAATTCAAACTGATATGCATTCAATCCGTGTGTCCCATCCACACAAACACAATCTGAGCCGTATTTTTTTTAAAATTTTAGATTGAGCATCTGTCGTTATCATTAACACAAAATCTTAATTTTTTTAATTCATTATGATGTTAATCAACAGTTCCCTGAGGTTTATAATAAAGGACAATGCTTTCATTGCTTCTCATTTCATTTACCCGTGCATTTACACTTGTACCATCATCTTTGTTTAGTATGGGTTAAATTGTATCTATTTTCAATGTTTAGCAGATCTTTCCTTGTTGTGAGATGAATTCTATCCAAGTTACAGCCAGATATCGTATTTCGAATATCATTAAGGATAACACATTCAATGGTATGTTTGAAGCAATTTTTGTTGCTAGAAGTTGTTTTTCTATCTTTGATAAAAACATGTGTTTAAGTTCCCTTTCGTGAGCGATGTGTGTTTTCATAAAAGAAACTTTGCATTGACCACTTTGATAGCTTTTATTTTTGATGGACAATATGAATTGCTTTTTTTTTTGTAATTTTAGATGTCTTTTACCCAAAGATTTTGTTGCAAAATGACCTGAACAGTGACGGCTGAAATAGTGATATTCTATACCAGATGAAGTTATTTTAATTCCACAGTCTTTTTAGATCTTTTGTTTCTTTTTCAACACTGAGCTTTCATGCTTCAAACTCTTCAAAAGATGAAAATAAAAAATTATCACATTCAAGCCTAATATCGTGTTTGGAACCGAAATGGGCTTCAAAATTGGTTTTCAACCCTGTAAAATCACACAAAGGACACTCAAGAGGCTTATTATCTTTCTCTTTATGCCTTAAGTGCGTTTTGCAAAAGTGCACTTTGCAACTCCCATTTGAAGCCACTGTTAACTTTATTGATTATGAGCAGTACAAACTCATTTTCTTCGTTTCATTTTCAGTATTATCTTTAACTCTCTATTTTGAGCAATTACACACAAAATAAAAGTGTTGACTACCCACTTTATTTTTTCTTACTTCCACCACAGTCTTTGATGAAACATGAATTCGTTTCACTTTCTAAGTTTGCTTTAAACTTTTCGAATTCTTCAAGTGAAGTGAACTCTAAATCATCATATTCAAGAGTAATGTTATGCTCGTTACATACATGAATTTTAATCTCGTCCATTTTAGCACAGAAATCCCACAAACTGCATTTTATTTCCACCATCTTTGAAAATGGCGGGAAAAATATGATATTCTATCTTATTTTCACAATTTTCCGCCTACTAGAGGGCGCCACTCTAAAATTCGGGTAGTGGATGTGACGTCAGTTTTTCAGATTCTCAGTTTCTAGACACTTGTCGCGCTAAGTTGCTACAGCGATTTCGAAAGGCATCATAGGAAAAAGTACACATTTTTCGGTAAACTTCCGGTATCAGGGTCTCAGTTATCTGTAAAATTCAAATAAAAATATAATGTTGCCAATTAATGAAACTTAAATAGTTGCTAGAAAACTGTTCTGCTCATTAAGTCTTATAATATTAAGATCTCTCAACAATAAAGTATGATATACGCACTTATAAGAATAAAAGTATTGATTTAAGGTTTGAATGGATAATTTTGTAAGACGATCTATTTGATAGTTGTTTAGAGCTGTGGAGTAAGGCTAGTAGCTCTACTGTGGAGGGATGAAATTCAGCCTCAGAGCAACAACTGAAGTGAAGTGATGTAAATGTATGTATTAACTCGTAGACAAGATTTCGCTGAGAGCAAATATTGTACTATAGTAAGTGTAACATTTTTATTTAAACATTTGTGTTTTCATAAAAATTATAATACTAATCCGATGCAGAATTTGTAAGTGTATACTTAGAATAGTAAGATTTGTTTTGATTTTTTTTCGTGTATCACTGAATGTCCTTTTTGGTCCAAAATATTTTTCGTATTATCTTTAGTGGGAACGTGTATTGTGCGATCGAGATATACATTTGGTAGTATTTTAAAATGATTCACTTTATAATATATTTATGTAATAATGCTACACGAAGCATTTCTAGTTAGTATATTTTTTAAAATTAGAGTTTCATTGACCTACTCGGTGGATTTACCAGTCATTGCTTTGGTAGCCATTGTCCTATTTTGTGATTTAGAAAAGAGAGAATGTTTCATTAAAACGTTGGCAGTAATAGTAAGATTTTAATGAAATTTTTTTTTTTAAAGTAATGATTTTGAGTAACTGTAAAGAACTTATTCATTTAAAACGATGGGTGGGTAAAAATATATTTAAAGGTACCCCTTGCCGAAACTTAACGATTTTTGGCAGTACATGAATACCGAGTTGTGCAATTATTTGACTTGCGTAGCGGCGCCACAAAGCCAAAATAACAAGACAAAGAATTGCACAAACTCGGTAACCATGTACACATCAACCTATTTTCACTTAAAAAAAACATCCCAAAATTGCACAAAAATGGCATTGTGCACTCCCTTCACTTTATAAATGCACACATAGACCTATTGTCACTTAAAAACAGGTCAGATAATTGCACAAACTGGGCTAAATCGCCGCTACACAAAGCCAAAATAACAAGACAAAGAATTGCACGTACACATTGGTATCCATGTACACTTCGATCTGTTTTCACTTTAAAAAACATCCCAGAATTCACAAAAATGGCATTGTGCACTCTCTTTATCCATGTACACCTCAACCTAATTTCACTTCAATCACATAATTGCACAAACTAGGCTTTGCGCATTCCCTTGAGTTTGTCCATGTACACATCGATATATTTTCACTTAAAAAATCAAATGAGCAACCAATTCTACAGTAGAGGCAACAAAAAATGCATAATCTCAATAAACTACATTTTAAACCAAACAATGAAATAACATAAAAAAGAAAAGCCTGTTATGTATTTAAGCACTACACAAAGCAAATATCTACTTAACTTATTTAGAGATTCATTTGTCTTCTGTCTGTGGCACACAAATTTCCTTAACAGCATTCCAAAAACTTCATAAAATTATCTGACCTAGAATCCATATATTGGCGTCGCCACATAAATTCACAAAAATAAGAGTAAAAAATATCCTACATAGTTCCGGACTGTTTGGAAAATGGCTACTAAGTAAACCTTCATTTACACACCAGTCAATTAATGCACTTTTCCCCTTTCGTTCCAAATCGTACAGAAACTTCAAATTAATCTTACTACATTCAGCCATTCTGCCGTCTAAACAATGAAACAAGCAATGCACTTCCTAACCAACACACACCACGAAATGCCTTATAAGTACATACCATGATTCAAAATTTCCCGGAATAATGCAAACGATTACGTCATACTAGGGTTTCCATAACATTCAACTACTCTCGTTACCATAACTGAAACAACAAATTCACGATAATACAGGGGTACCCTAACATCAACTCTAACCCGTTGGGCGATATAAGTGTAAAGTCATTACCAGTTTCAGTGTTTTTAAATTTCTAAAAAATTTTATTCACTTAAAATCTAGTAGAATATTTTAACGGCTGAGTTGTAACGGCCAGGAATTCTTTTTTTTTTCCGTCAACTTTAGAATTTTAGAACAGTTCAACTTTTTTGTCGCTATAGTCATGTTTGTTTACAAGTCCCTTGAGCACTAGTGGTGAAAATTCCTAAAACCTGACAGCAGTACTCATTAGTAGCTCAAAGTAGATATCAGTTCCTGGATTTTAAAAATTTACATTTTTTTACTCATTATTCTTCAATAAAAAAAGTTTGATATTAATTTTAATAACATATACAATTAACACTTCTGATACATTTTGATTATAAGCTCTGTGAAAAATCAAAACTGTGAACTAGCGAAGAGCATTTTTTACCTATCTTTATGGCTCATAACTACTATTCTGTTCATAAATAATAAAAAGGAAGGGTACAACTCTAATATACGCCCTAATTTCACCAAATGTGGCGATATGTGTTCTGCGCTGGTTTTTGGTGCGATTGCGTGTTCTATGGCAACCCTGTTGACATTGAAAAATCTTTCGCTGGAGCTCGTTGGTTCGCCTCTGTGTCTGAGAAGATGGGAGGGAAAGATAAAATGGTAGTTGTTGAATTGAAGTTCGGCAAAAGGAAATATGATTGTGGCTATCCTGTTGAGGGGTATGGTATTTGGAAGTGTGGAAGAGGGTCTGGGATTATTTTTATTGGCAGTGCATGATAGAAGTAGGGATTTGTGATTTTATTTATTTGTGAACCATAGTATAAATTTTCTGGATAGTGTGTCTGGCTGTCATGTAAATACGATAGTGATTACGTGGCGGCATGTTAAAGGCGGTATGAAGTTTATATTTCTGCAATTCGAAAACGCATTAATTCATGGTAAGTGCATTTTAATTTATCCTTGTTGTTATTTTGTAGAATGTTATGTTCATTGGTTCTTTAGTATGAATTTCAGTCGTTATTGTTGTTTTGGAACTACTCTGATATGTGCCCTCAAGATGCCAATTTTCTTGCCAAACATTTTTGGTCAGAAACTCCACGTTGCCATATTACTATCTAAATTTTTTGTCTACATTTCGAACTTTAAGCCTAAAATGTCTCCAAAACACACAATTTAAGCTAAAAATCCGGAAAAAAAAATTAGATAGCCAAAAACGTAAATAATAAAATATATTTGACAAGAATCCATGTACACAGCGATATGTTTTAACTTAAAAAAACATCTACGAATGGCACAATATAGGCAACGAATGAATCTACGAACTACGCACACCTCACTTTAATAAATTAACAATAAATTTCGAAGAATACCATATACACAGCATTCTGTTTCAACTTTAAAAAACATCTACGAATTGCACAATCTAGACACTGTGCACTAATCAACAAAATAAACTAAAATAAATTTCAAAAATTCAAAAAAACAACAATAACGACAGAAATTCATGCTAAAAAAACAATGAACATAACATTCTACAAAATAAGAACAAGAATAAAATGCACTTACCATGAATTAATGCTTTGGTTGATCTTTGGATTATGGTAACTTGGCGATTTTTTGCCGAAAATTTGGCGACCAACTCTGCTACAGCAACCCTCTATTTTTTTTATTTTCACCGCCATTTTGTCTTCACGAAGTAAAGACGTTTCTTTTCTTTTTATTTACTGAACACTTTTTCCAACAATCTACTAGCCGAATTACACTTATGCTAGAAATTTTATGTAACAAAACTGCTTAATCATGACAAATATTAACTGCAAAATTGGGAAAAAGTGCACAATCGCAAACTCCTTGCGCGTTTTTCAGAATAGCACATACACATAAACCATTTACACATCGACTTATTTTTACTTAAAAAAAAAAATCCCAGAATTGCACAAAAATGGCATTGCACACACTCTTAACTTTATCCATCTACACTATTTTCTCATAAATTACAAAAATTTGCACGAAAATGCAAAAAAATTCTGTGAATCTTTAAACTCGGTAAAAAGCATATATATGAAATTACCTGATCGCGAAAAAGTATATACCCTTTCCAAGGATGAACATTTCCACATATAAAATAAATAAAATATCCAAAAACTTTTACCTCTAAATTATATATTATATTATAAAGGTCACCAACGAATTCGTACCGCAAACATTACAAATGGTTACAAATACTTAGTGTCAAATATTTAAATTATTTCCATACAGGTTTACTTCAACTGAAACGTATACCAAATTCCTACAAACATAAAATTCACAAAATAACTATCATTTAATTAAAATATCACTAAACCATGTACATGTCGACTTATTTTTACTTAAAAAAACATCCCAGAATTGCACAAAAATGGCATTGCGCACATTCTTCACTATATCCATGTACACTGCTTTTAGAAAAATTTCACGAAAATGCATGAAAATACTCAACGTATTCTACTCAAACGTATTCCAAAACACTACAAACATATAACTCACAAAATCACGATCATTAAATTAAAATATAATTAAATTAAAAACACTACTTAAAATATAAATAAGCACATACATTAAATTAATAAAAATTAGATTACAATCCTAATTACTTTAAACTAAATCCTTGCTAATAACAATTTTCCAATAATATCATATTAATTTACTTACTCCTTACATTTAGAACAATGCATAAAAATAATATCCTCAAATGATTAAAAATACTAACTTACCTAATCTTCAGAATCTTCATTACGTGGCACGCACACTTCCGCTATTTCACACAACACACAATGAAGCTTAATACAAAATAATATACAGTCAAAAGTCGTTAATTCGGACACCCATAATCCGGAATGATCTACAATCCGGACCTCAAAGCTACAAACTCTCTGCGCATGCGTCGCGTTCACGCATGCGCACAGGCGTTTAATAGTGCGCGTAAGACCTTTACGTCTGCGAATATGTTTGTGCGCATGCGCGTTTAATGTGTGACGGACGGGATAGGCTAAGCTAAAAATTCAGTTAATGTTGCAGATTGCGTTGTTCCTTAATCTTCGAATTGGATCCGGCTTATTATTTTTTGCAGACTGTTAGAGCAATTTCATGAAAGTAAGCTTGAACTTTCGATTATGTCAAATAGAATTTCCGATATATATTTAATAATATGTAATTTGTATCTACAAAGCGAAAGTATGTTTTGAAATCCGAAATCTGTTTATCAATTTCACGCGGCCCGCGGATTGGAAGTTGATCTGTCAACACTATCCTTATCTTCAGAGCAGATGTTTTTATTTTATTTGGCTTATAATTCCTTACGAAGTCTAGTAT